GGAGGTTATTCGTGTCGTTAAAAGGTATGCCTACGCCGATGTCACTGGCGGTCTAAAATAGATTATATGGGCCTTACCGAGGAACCATTTTGTATTTACAAGGGCCGAGATGTTCGCCATCGTGTAAAAAACTTCGGCAGTGTAAAGAAGCGTTGGGGTGGCAGTCTGAAGTAATCAGAAAAAAATGATTGAACATGATGTCGCCAATAACGATCATGCACACTGCACGCACCACATCACCCGTAGTGCCACGTTCTTTTGTCATCATCACACCTCCAGGAAGACTATCCACGAGGACTGCAGTCTCTTGAGTATTACCTCCGACTCGAATGAGCACCTCGCCTGCCCGTTCGCGAAGGATGGCCATGAGGTTTAAAAAGGGAACCTGCAAGTATGTGCTATGACATGTGAGTTCATGTATGTGGACATGGCGGCCTCATCAGGACTTACGCATTTACACCGACTGCGACCATCTGTGATCAGTATATGACTTCTGGATAGGACATGATTGAACTAACAAATTTGGTTGATGACAGTGAATTCGATAGAAAAACCCATGAACGACCCTTTCTGGGGTATACTCAGACCCTGCACAGTTGCTGAAGAACTGGAGAGCTGGATTCCAAATTGTGTTGTGAGCCCTGAGGGGACGGGCGGGGGTGTTAGTACAGTAGGATCATAAGCTGCAGCGCCGGTATAATTTGCGGAAGATGCAGTGGTTGTTGAATCTGCTAATGGGACTTGGTGGTACACTGTAACGCTGGCATTGACGAGAGATGATAAGATGACAAAGACAAAAACATTGAGAGGGTGGAATAGTTGCATTAGTAGCCTGAGGGTGTATTGGAAAAGAATCAAAAAAGCAGTGGACGATGAAAACAAGGACTAACTAGCTACAAAGTGATGGAGAAGGTCGTGGCAAAGCAACGAGGCACATCTGGCTGAACCCCAATTTATTTACAATGGAATGTCTCTAAATTGGACTTCGGTACTTGCGCATGTGCATTGCACCACTGTTACTCGGCTACTACCCGAACTAAATCTGATTAGATGTTTCTACGCAGCAGCTGGCAGGGCGACCCGAATGAATTACTCAAGAGCTTCGGATTCGACGACAGTCAAAGAAATACAAACAGTGCGCGGAGGAGGTACTCGCAAGTATTGTCTAACCCTTCTACTACCCTTTTACTCGGTTCGACAGGTTTTTTAACGAAACCTTCAGTACTCGTTTTCCGGACTACTCAGCTTCTTGCACTGAAGAACGCTGATTTGTGCAGGATGGGCTGCAAGAACGTCGAAACCAGCAACGGTGTTAGCGACATTTAGGTTGAAACCCTGAAGATATCAATATTGATGTCAAGCCAAGTTCAGCGTGGCCGCCTCAAGCGCCCGCATGACGATGACGCCCCGTTTAGAACTTGTGGCGGTCCAGTGCGTGCCACATCGATCGAGTTCAGCTTCCAGCTTCTATGCCCATTCCTCAGGCCTCAAGTTCAAGCTTCAAGCCGAAGCTCACGGACTCAAACCAGTTCATCCCGCTTGCGACGCGCTTCTCTTGGCGAGCCATGCATGACACAACGTGCAAGTAGCATTAATGTGCGTACACTCAGGACGATCGAACGCTTGTGGTTCAGCGCTCAGCGTTCAACTACAGAATCTTGATGTACTCATTGCTGTGGTTGGAACAAATCTAGTACCTTCTGTCCTGCGTGGAATATGCCAGGGATCCAGGACCAGCGCTGCTTAATCCGTTACCCCCATTGGCCTCCAGTAGCAGCCACCTATGTCACCCATCTTGATCCTTAGACTGAACCGCGACGCAATGTAGGGTCTAGCGCGCAGGTTATTTTTTCCGACGACTTACTGCATGGAACATTATGCTGTGTTTCAAGTCTTTTGGGCAGACCAAAACGAAAAAAAGACAGCCCTTTCTGTCGTTGCACCGAGCTCGTGTATTCATGATAGCGGGACCTGTTATGCAAAACGCGATAACACTTTGTATTGTTCAATCGCTCTTTACCAAATGCCGAGTCCACCCAAACACAGCTGATGTCATTTTCCATGGAAATTTGCCGGCAACTGTCAAGTTGTACGTATGCAGCACGGGAATTGTATCAAGCCCTGGATTTCCTCATACGGCAATGACGACTATACTAGTCAGACCTAGTCAGGGATGGCTGTCCCAGGATCTGGTATATAATCTAATCTATCACATCGCTAGGAATCCCTCGGGCTTTCACCGTTCGACGACAAAGGTCGTTCCACTCGCTTTTACGACACTCCTCATCTTCCTGTCCCTATCTCAAGTCAGACTAACGGTCAAACAGAATCCGTTCACGAACCACATCCTTTCCCTACAAACATGAGTACATTCGCCTACCAAGCACACTTGGCCGCCCGTGTATGTCCCCCCGTATACCATGCTTGTCGTGTATTAACTTTTGGTATAGTCTTCAGGCGGACAGAAAAAGAAGTCTCATCACCACGACAGTTCTTCGCCAAAGCACATCGAAGAGCCTGTCTCACCAACCTACCATCCTCCTGTGCTGGCAAGAGCTCACGCTCACCAGTTCATTCAGAGTCAGAAGGGTGACTCGAGTGCTACTGCGCCCCGCGCAGCTGCGGATCCTCCTGTGTCTAATCATTTTGCTGGCCAGGGTGCTTACCGGGCCCGTGTCTTTGAACGAGTGAGTATTATGAGCTGATAAAGGAAACATCCCTTATTGAGACATCACGCGTCACCTCTAGTACGGGTTTTCCTAGGATCTGGCAGAGCACTGCAGAGTTCTCGAATATCGTTCGTGCACTTTGGCTGTGCCGTTGCGCATGAAGCACGTTTGTCAATGAGGCAGGCCTCCTATTACGAGGAGCTGGTCATCAACTTTTCGCCATTTGAGCCCTGGTGTGCCCATACGGTTTGGTGGATCCAAATTATCCAATGCTCTCTATTTTGTTTTGTTTTGTTTTGTCATGTTTGGAAGCGCATACGTCGATGTGCTTCGCCAATCGAATTGTGGTGTCTTGATACTCTTGTGTTGTATCCGGTGCCTTCCACTTTGTTATTTTTCTGCATACTACTCGTGTCTCGAAGCAGGTCTTAGGAGCTAGTCTTCATCCGTCGGGTATATTGATACGCTTCCGATGCTTTCCACTTTTGTTTAGTTTCTTCATGACCCGCTATTTGATCCTGTTTACGACTTTAACGACTTTACGATACAGTTTGATACTATGTATGCCGGTTATCATCTCACATGTACAAAATTGTCGATGGTGGTTTCAAAATGCCTGACTTTTGAAAAGGCTAAGAGCAAGTAGGCTAGGATTTGGGACAAACACCGGGCGCAGTGTATGTTCCCCAGTAAGTGAGTCAGAGCCAGATTGCCGCAAGCGACCGACTGAATGCACAGCCTATCTAGAATGACTATGCCTTTTGAGTGTGAGCGCTAATCAGAAGAGCTGGTTCTAGTGAAAAGGCTGCTGATGGCGTGATTTATTGAGTAACATAACAATCCCGGGGCCGGGACATACCGAAGCCCGTCGAAGAGAATGGGTGCAACGGGCTAGCACCTAATGGATATGATGGCCTCCTAATCCAGGTGTTGCGCTTTAATTTAGCCTAGATAAGTATGAGATGGAGTGGGAAGATAGAAAAGCGCTCGACGGCTGCCCGCTTGCCGCGTGCTGTTGCGCTCTACGGGGCATGGGGGAAATAGAAAAGGGCCCGGCGGCAAGCCTGATTCCGGGAAGACCGGAAAGAGTGTTGCCCGAGCGTCTTGAGCAAGAATGTCGCCTTTAGAAGCCAAGCTTGTGCACAGCCACGAGCGCCTGCAGCATATAGCGAACTTATCTTTTAGGATTAATTGTTTCCGAAGGATAAGGTTCTTCTGGAAAACAGACCGCGGCCTCCTCAATTAATGTTGCGGGAGATGATGGCACCCGAGACCGTTGTTTATGACATTGTCAGAATTGCAACATACGACGACGAGACTGCCTCGTACTTTGCAAAAAAAAATTATGTAAATCGGATCAAAAAAAATTCAATTCGACCATCAATACCACTCACTGGCGTGCACATGTCGTCCTGAATGTCCTGAATCCAACATCTGGATAACATGAAACCAAGCTAAGCGGAACGCTACCTGCAACTACCTACACAATTAAAGCAATATTGGTGGCGATAGAAGCACGCTGCAGTTGGCCCACTTGGAAGTGGTAAGATTAAAAAGTCACACGACGCGACGGCGTAAGTACATACTACTCTAGCTCTAGTAGACTGGTACTATTCACGGTGTACAGCAGTTCTACAGTGTACACAGCCTTTGAATCCGAAATCTCCTCGACATGCCCATCAGTTACTACATGCACAGCACTCCATTGCAATCCGCAGGTACGATTCCATAACCGACCTATTCCGGTCATCAATAGGTTAAATCGTTTGCTATGCATAGTACTTCTCTTGACGCATGGCCTATGCAGGCGAGTGGTACCAAACACGTCGGTACTGATCAAAAGTATATGTCTGGTGCAACCGCGAAGTCCACGTGAGTCGCTCTCCAACTAATCTCTAAACAAGGACTCTTGTCAGGCAACTATCCAGTCTTTGGCAACAGGCCAAGTCTTGATGCCGGTGTCCTTAATGGTCAAATCTATCCATATCGATTCTCAATTCGAAATGGGCAGATCTCACACACCCCACGTTTTTTCAGGCTGTCCTATTGTGGCAGCCAGCAGGCCGTTGGGCTTTTCTCTTAGTATGGTATGAGGGCGCCAATTTCATTCTTACCACTTTTATGTTGTTAGCTTCTATCGCCGATGTTTTGGTTCTTTGACAATCGTGTCTTGAGCGTCAACCGCCATGGCAAGCTGTCATAGCCGGGCTAAAGTACGACCGTCAAGGACATGCTGCAGGGTATATATACCACTGATGGCAAGTAGTACCAGCAGCACCAACTCAGCCCACTCTCAAAAGACGAACGTTACATTCTAAACGCTCAATCAACATGTCAACTTTCGGGACCCAGGCACGCAGGTGCGCTAATACTGTAAGTGACATCGCTTTGCAGAGTGGCCAGCACCTGATGAGCAACGTTCACGTAGAAGAGCTCCAAGCAGTCATCTTGCAGTTCTGACTCATCCTCGCACAAGCACGTCGCTGCTGCTGATACCGATGCCGAGCATCGAGGAACCATTCCTGTTATGAGCAAACTTCACATGCACATATTCGATCGCGTAAGTGCTTGTAGTAACAATTGGACTGTCGTTCGGTGTCTTATATAACTATAGTATGGGGAACCTAGCTCGACACTTCCTACGAAACACAAGAAACAGGACGTTGAACAACGATCGCACACGTTGCCCGTACCCATACAGTGTGCTGCGAATGCCCGAATTCACCTTCGAGTAAGTGACACATGCATCTAAGCAACGACACAGGATTGAGTTGACATTGTTGCAGAGTCAATCGACGAAGTGATATATGGAAACAAGAAAAAGCTTTCCTTGAGCTGCCCGACAAAATATCATCTTGCATCACGCTTCGTTGACCATATATATGTGGAAGTCTGACTCGTCTATGACTCGATACATCAACTTGATAACTATTAGTGTACTTTATATACAAATGTCCAGATTAGCGACCATACATGCCAGCTGGCACCGCATTTGCAAAATTCATGACCTCATGCAATAACATCACTCGTATTTTCACGCAACGAATATTCATTTGATCGATGTATGCATCATGATAATTAACACTTCATTTCTACTCGTCCGGAGCCACAGGAACAAACGTACCATCCTCCGTCGGCGTACATGGTTCCTAGGTGTAAGAGTACTAGTGGCGCTTCAACATATCCACATTTTCCAAGCCACTGCAAGACCAAACACCGTTCCTCGGAGTCCGACCTCCGCTCTCCTCCTAGTACCTGACGCGCCATTCGTGCCTTTCGAGCCACTCTTGTACAAAAACCAGGAATTGCCAAGGGAGCTAGGCATCCTTTGGGTCAGCCTGTAACGAGTCTAGATGCAGGTTAATTAGTTCCTAGAGTGCATCAAGAAGCAGGCCAAGACAGGAATCACAGCCAAGAAAGAGGAACCACTAGACGGGATATCCTCAAACGCGAACACCAATCTCGTGGATGCTGAGTGTCGAAATTTGGATCCAGACAGCTGATTGTTCGAGAGTCCCACGAATCATACAGGAATGTATGGGACTATTTTCTCATGAGCTCGTCGTCGTCCAGTATGTCGCCTGAATAGCCATTATGGAAATCTGGATGTCGAACTGACCCACCTTTTGGGTCGAAACAATGATCTTGGCAGTCTGAGGTGTAGATGCCGGTCGAAGGCATTAGTATGTGTTCGATTGCTCGTATCCGTATGCAACAGTCAGTTCGTTGAACAGCTTCGATCATACACATACTACGTTGGTGTTTATCAATGCGACTGCAAAACACAGTCCATCCTGCTAAGTACAACCGTAAGAGTTTGAAAGTGAAAGTGCCCAACGAGATAATCTAGACCGGACTCGGGCGAATGAGTGTGAGGGGAAGGATACTGGGTCGCAGGGAGTTAGAGCCACGGTAGGAACTCGAGCATCAGTGAACTGGAGGAAAGATGATAAGAGTATATATGACGATACATAGTACACAATCACAAACATCTGTATAATTCTGCTATCCATCATCACATAGTGATGTTTGACTTTATACAGGAAAGGACAATGCATAAATTTCCTACACCAGCGTTTGATCGGGAGAACACCTACATATCGCTGGAATTCTAACTCGAAAGTGATATGGAGTAAAATCAAAGGGTCGAACTGCATGAGACACTATCGGCACCTCAGAAGTGAATTCCATCGTGTCAAAGTCAGGCGTGAAGGCCTTAATCTTCCGGATGACTACAAGGTGTTTACCAAGTGCACAAGTTTAAATTAATATTCTCGCGCTAATTTTGACGCCCTCTTCTCCAAAAAGTTGATTTTCTTCGAGTATCGTGCAACGTCCCAAGCCAGACCAAAAAACTCGTGTTTTGCAGAGTACCACGAAGTGTTTACGAAGTGCAAACTGATGCCTTGTGCGAATTTTAACGCCACCTTCTTTAAATTGTTCATGTTTGTCTACTATATATCAATTGCGAATTTGTGCAAAGAAGTGCCACTTTCGTATCGCAGCCGGAATGTGTCCATCAAGCAAACATATACAACGTACAGCTTACTTCAAATTGTCACGCGAAATCGTATGAATACCCAACAACTAGCAGTTGTATTCATCTGCCACGCGTCTCGCAGCGGTCCAAGGTTTTGCGCAAATGCTGTGTAGTGCCGTGTAAGTGAATTCGGGACCCTGGTGACAGCCGCCCCCCATCCAATCACCAAGGTGTTAATGGGCGAAATCAAGTATTTATGACCGAAGTTGTGCTATTGTCTACAATAATTGGTATAGTTACT